ACTGCTTTTGATATTTTGTTGCCATTTTGTAGACACCCACCATGCGTGGAAACACTTTTTGTGGGGCAAAAATTAATTTTCTACTTTCACAAATGACGTTCACGTAGGCATAATATTAAATGGTTGGATAGAAAAAACGGTAAGCTCATCCAATGCCCCCTTAAAGCAAATGAAATAAAAATTAGTAGGCTGGGTAAAATGTCATAATTTTTTAAGCTTCTTTTCGCAATAAAGTTGACATTGATTTTTCATTATTAAAAAATTATTAGAGTAGGAGGTAAAATCTGATACAAAATTTCATAAAAATATCTGGAGTGATAAGAAAATTATAATAAAAAAGCTAATTTTTTCTTAAAACTGTAACACCCTGTAACTCAAAAATTAAGAGGTTTAGGACATATGTTGATATTAAGTTTTCTTCTTAAAATGACCCAAGGATTCACACCCTTAAGTATCGGCATTCAATTAATAAACACCCTGTATGAATTGCTACATCGGTCCCTTTTTTTTAAATCTCGAAAAAACAGCCCTAAATACGGAAAGTCCCACTCTAGAGGGTATAGCATTTGGTACAGTTGTAAAAAGAGAATGGAAGCTACTGCAGATTTTATAACGTACAAAATAACCCTAAAATCTGGAAAATTCCTTTATAGAGATAGATAGAACTTCAGCCATTTGATGCCCGCGAAAAGAGGTGAGGGTATTCGAGAATGTGAATATCGTTTCCAGATAAAAAATTGTTTCTTTCACTCCTTTTTCCATTCGTAGCGAACTCTTTTATCTTCAAACGATCTCTGTATTTTTGGCTCGTTTATCCTTTTAAGCATTCAACAGAAATCTGCCATCATATTTCTTCCTCGATATCGATGCTCCATGTCTTTGGTGAATTCGTTCACCCTGTGCTTCGCTGTAGTCTTCGAGTTTCTCCGGAATGTGGTCAAGATGAGTTTCTAGTAAATGCAATTTCAAATTCATCAGGCAACTATTTGACGTTTCCCCGGATTCAGATTCAGCGCGTCAATATACATAAGGATACATGGGTCTAATCTTTGGAACAGAACACTTCTCTGTTTTCTGGTACGGTGTTATTTGTATATATATATATATATATATATATATATACAAATAACACCGTACCAGAAAACAGAGAAGTGTTCTGTTCCAAAGATTAGACCCATGTATCCTTATGTATATTGATATATATATATTAATATGCATCAATTAATTTAACAACTTATATATCTCTGTGCAAATTTATCATTATGTAATCAAATTATTTCTTTGGCACATATAAATTAAAATTCTTTTCCAGGCAATTATAAGCCAAATGTGTAGGAAGTAGTAATGGAGCTGCAACCAACAATACACCGTTGCATTGTATTCCAAGTTAATATTTGTACTATTGGAACTTACATTAGTAGGCAACGTTTTTATTTTTTCGAATCTGATTCAGTCTTTTGTCCAAATAAGATATGGGATATATTATTTCTTCTTGTTAAATAATACTTGGTAGAACTTAATAATCCATATATTAGCTAATTATACACTAGGCAATAGATTAATCCTTAGATATAATGGAGAAAAAAAGATTATCTTTAATATAATATGACCAGGGATGGTTTCATGTGGTTTCAACAAGACGGTGCCACATGTCATACAGCCCGAAACAATCAATTACTGGATTAATCATTTACTGATCGTACTATTTTGGTGATCAGAATTGGCCGCACAGATCATGCGATTTAACGCAGTTGAACTTTTTTCTTTGGGGATTTTTAAAGAGTAACGTTTATGACAACAAGCCAACTACCACCCACACATGCCTTGAAGAAGGAAATTGGGCGCCGTATCAACGAAATTCAGCATTTTCTATTAAAAACCTGTGGTTTCTATCAAAATTACTTTTTGCATGAATTTCGGACATCCTTTATTTTTCGCAATCAGTCAAGGCAGCAAAGATTAAGTAAATGTTACTTTCATTGTCATTTAATAGCAGCAAGGATGTATAAGGAATATTTGCATGAATTGGAATGTATTCGATTTGTCAAAAAACTTATAATAGGTAAGTTATTTGTATAACAGCTTTGTCACGACTAAGAAAGAAGCACAGGCACTACTGGAGATGTCGAAATTGAAGAAAGGCGAAACGTTTGGAAGCTTTAAATGCGACCAGTTGCAGAGGCAATTACGGAAGGTCTTAGACGTCTGAGGAGTGATTCCGTCCGTTGCGGTCTTAGAGCCAACAACAAGAACCGAACATCCGGGCGGGTCTAGGAGTTCTGATAGCGGATCCCTTCCCACAGAGTCTAAACACGAGAACAACAATGACACGTTAAAAATTTCTATCTAAGGCTAAGGAAATGCTATATAAATCGGTTTTAACATATTAAAATATTTACCTTGCCCCCTGAAACATCCTGTATTGAAATAGTCAGATTCATTGAAAATAGAAGGATAAATATTTCAGATGCCCATATTAAATAGGTATGCAATTACAAAATTATGAAATTGATTGTTTCATTTCTAGGATATTTATTAAACCACAAATTAACACCAACATTTCATGGAATTTTACTCATAGTACTTTCCCCAATTGACGTTTGTTTTCATATACCAAACTACGATGAGTTTTAAAAAAAATTGAGTAAAAATGTTGCTGGTTTTTTGCTTTCTCCAGGACAAATACAACATATCCAATGGTTGTTTCTGTCTGAAGAAGCTGCCATTAAAGAGAAATAGACAATACGTTTCTAACATATTTCGAATATGAAAATTAGTTACCTACCTACACTTCTTAATCAAAGCATAGAACTCACTGGAATGGTTATTTCTACTTATCTATTTATATATTCTTAGAGATCTCTTATTTGAAGATGAATGAAGCAAAATTGTACTAATATTTATTCAGTTTATATCCATTTATTTTCCTCCAAGCTTCCACATACCCTGGACACATTACTTAGATTGTTTTCCTAATTTAAGACACAGAAATGAAAAACATAGAAATACTGGAATCGTGATAACAAGACAAACTGAGTTCTACCCGAAAAGAACAATTAAACACTGAAGTTTGAATAAATTTATGTGTAATTGTGAATTGATCACATATTCCCAAATGTAAATTTAAAAAATGAAAAACAAGACAGAATCGTATACCTATCGTAAATCTGATTTCATTTGGCTTTACACTTAAAATAACAGAATAAATTTTACGTTGATATTTAGAATGGAATGAAAATATTTTAAACCAGAGTAGGAAGTAAAACTTGTTGGTTATATAAACAAGTTTCCTTAGTAGGTACTTGCAAGTTTAGAATAAAAAACAAGCAACAAAAACATAATATTTAATTAACAATAAATAACCTTGATCACAACAAATCGAGTAACCTACCTAGTTATTATTTCGTTTATTCTTTAGTGTGATAATCACGTTCAATATTGGTAGATAAGACAATAACAATCCATTTATATTCTATATTTAAACACACAAAGGGTATAAGAGTCGTACTGGATCGTTTTAAATAATGTTCCAGACACGTAAAAGAAAAATAAGAATTAAATAAAACTTATTTGAGTTTCTTTTTGCTTGTCTGTTTTGTAACCACTTAATTAGATATCTGTTCAGATGTATACCTACGTAAAAAAATATGCAAGCTTGTTTTCTTTTTTTACACCTTATTTTTATTTCGACTCTAATTTTTATTTATTTTCTGTAATCCTGCTTTAGTAATGAATAAAAAATATAAGAAGCACTAGATAAATGTTCTCTCTAAGCAAACAAATGGTGTGACTTTTATGTCAAGTTATTTACAACATAATCTAATTTCATCTCCAACATAATTTACATAACTTAATTTTATTGCATCAGAAACAGTGATTCCTGTAGGCTTCAAAATAGGCATCATATCATTCAATTGCTTTCAAATTTTTTAATAAAAAAGAAGTCAGACGGAGCCAAATCCGCACTTACGGCGACTAGTCTTCCTCAGAGAGATTGCATTCGTGGAGAATCGGTTAGTCTTTGACTGCTTTTATAAATTTACACATTATCGTGAACCAGGTGGACTAGAACGTTTTTAGTCAATAGTATTACCATAAGTAACTGATATTATTGTCATGCTTGGTATAGTCTTTCCGATCTCAATTGAAGAACCGAGAGGTTGGCAGTATGTACCAGGTTGGGTCGCTGTCGCAGCAACTCGGCATTGAAAGTTGAAGAGCGCGCGGGCAAACGAGGCACAAACACAGCCGCACTGGACCACCTGGCCTTAAATTAGGTTGTCAATAAATGGCCTAGCAGTGCAGTACAGTAATGCGGAATTTGGTGCGATACAGGTAATTTTAATTCATTATAGGCACCTTCTATTAATCATTCATATTAGAATTGCGAAAGGCAGAAATAAGAGGAATATTTTGTTTTCTAATATTACCACAACATGGCATTTTAGAGACATTTGGAGAAATTTACCATCAATATAATAAAATTGTTTGAGGACATAAATAATTAAAATATGTTGTTGGTCAAATGAACATATAATAGAAATTTTCTACACATTATATGCAAATTATTATAATTTTTTACGTTTAGGAGAAAACTTTTTTAGGGAGGCCCATGAAACTCATTAAATTTTGTTGCTAGATGTTTTTATACATGTTCAACTGACTTCGGAAAGACTATACCAAAAGACGGCGGCCTGGCGACCACTTTACTTCCCACTACTCGATCCTCTAACTTTTATATGTAGTGCGCGCTTTCTCATGTTTGCACGTTTCACCTGCCAGATGAAATTGGTTGTACTGGGTCTAAAAGGTTTTTGAGTCTTTTTACAGCATTTTTTTAGTTACCTACAACTGAAAAACAACTTTCGTAAAGTTCCACTAAATTTGCTCGTATTGAGGCAAAGCAGAATAAGAAATGGGGTACAAATCAAAAATATATTTTATTTTTCAGATGTTTTGACCCACATTGAAATAAAACAAGTTGCAATTCTAAGCTTCTATTTTGCAATCTTGGCACATATTTATTTGACGGTTAGAAAGTATTTTCGTAATAACAATTTTTTAAATAGTTATTCAGATCTTTTAATGAACAGTAATTATAAGCTATGTACTATATATATTTATATATTTACAAAAAATATACTCTATATTCTTAATTTTTAATAAAAATAATAAGAACGTAATTTGTAATAAGGAAATTATGTATAAAATACAAACTAATGTCGCTCTAAAAACATCATTTTTGTAGGTAGGTACTGAAGTTATACGATACATAGACCGTATTCAGTTAGTTATAACAGTATTATAATATATAATAAGAAAATGCAGGAAAAAAATAAATATACATATTCAATCTATTTAGGTACTAATTTTACATGGACCCATCTTCTCACCTACAATATAAAATATTAACAATACGCGAATATTAAGTAGTAGGCACTTTTTCTAAATCTAAAATTCGATCACTTTCCACCCACCACGTAAACAATAAAACATAAACATTTTCCCATGCTACAAACGTATAACTGCAAATGGCACCTTCTCTTAATAAAATAAAACGATGCACAAGTAAAATTCCCACAAGAGAAATATAACAATTAAACGAAATTAACTTATTTTACTTCGATTCACATTAATAAAAGAGTATTTTCAAGTCCACAGTAAATAAAAAACAAAAATTTACTGAACCGTAACAAAACTAATTTTTCTTAATGAATCTCATTACTACATAAATATCATTAGGACATGTTTATCTCATATGATTAAGAAGACCAATTTGAAGCTAGTTTCTTAAGTACTTAATATCACATTAACATATCTTGACTAGGTAAAGGCATACTTACATACATACTTAGCTAGCTACTGTACGTTTCCTGCATAATATTTGATGAATACCACCTGAAATAGTTGAACTGTGAAATTACAAGATTCGCTTAAGCAATATTTTAGCAATATTCCGGTTCAAATTGCTCAAAAGGAAGCTAAGTAACCTGATACAAAAAAATATGACAAACAATACAATGAAAAAGTGCAATCAATCATCATCATTTGCTTTAACCAGTAGATTGCACTTTTAATTGACATGGAATGAGCTAACAGTCTTAAAATGCACCTTTGTGAAGTTGTGTCAAACTCTGTTGCATTGTTTGAAAATGCGACAAAACCTACAAATTGTGGTAAATACTGAAGCTTAACAATTGTAAACATCACATTTTCACATTTTGTTTGATACAACTTGGATCTTGAAATGGACTTTCATGAATCTACTTTGATTTTCAGATACAACTTCTGAAGTACCAGAAATTTATTTACCCTACTTTCTACAGAAATATAGAAAATTTTACCTTCGTTCGTCTAACAAATCTCTTCTTTGTCTGATATGAGATAAACATATACAAAAGTAAATCATTCGAGCAAGTGAGTATTCTTAAATACAAAAATCACATACGGCGTTTGCCTACTAAATTCCTTGAATATTGACCTAGGCGGAGAATGCGTAGTGGCGAACTTCCATAAGGCTCTGATTTCTTTTTCGTTTAAATTGGCTCTTCCGTACAGAAATGGTTTCGAAACATTGTAGGAGTAATCATTAACGATAGAACGCAAGTCTTTTGGGGATATCACTAGATGTTCAATATCTGTATGAGTCACGTGAATTTTTTCCGTCAACGTCCCTGTTATGTGAATATCATCTATCCAAAAATAATCCGCTTTTTGCGCCTCCTTATATAGAGCAAATATTACGTCTGGAGAATAGAGTAGAGTCCAGCCTGGGCAGTAAGTAGGGTAATTTCTATTTGGATATTCGGAAAAGGAAACTCTCCATTTCGAGCGGTAAGTCCTTAGAACCTTTGTATTCCTTCTTGGTGTACAAAATAATACTTCATTGGCACCGTAAGGTGACAGATCAACTGAGAGAAATGTCTTCATCGATGGCATGTTAACAAAAACATCATCGTCAGTCTTAAGGATATACTTGGCCTGTGGGCAATGATAAATAGCATACTTAAAAACCATCACATGTTTATAAGTAATGTTCCTGTAAGTATCTAGAAAGCTTCCCTGAATAAAGTCGTTATGCAATCTATTCTCCTCCTCTAAAGTCTTCTGTAGGTCACTTGAATTAACGGACCCAAGCATAAACAGGATTTTGACATCTTCCTCGTTTTTTCCCCACGTCTCTCTAATCGTCCTCCTTTTCGCAAAGTTTTTTGGCGAGGAATGGACTAATACCAGTAATAACGGTTTGGATTCGTTGCAGACTAAATTGAGTACGGAAAAACTAAAACCGAGGTTAATAAGTTGATTATAATCCGTCGCAGGAAGTTGGCTGATTGGGTAGGAAAATCTACTGTAGTTCTGGGTGTACAAGGTGTAGACGGTGTGCATCTGAGAAGAACGGGGATTCTGGACTATCTGCCATAACAACACGCATGTTAAAACTCCAACCCAAATGAAAAAAACATTCGACCAAAGTCTTTTCTCAAGCATGTTCAAAGCATTTGCCAAGGGTCATCCTGCAAACAAAAACAGTCACATTAGGTACAGAAAAACAGTATAGAAATAGTTACAGTAAAACGTATTGACATATGCCCTTAAGAAAATGTTTTAAAACTAGTTGTTGTAATAAAACCTCTAAATCCGGTCAATGGTAATAGACCTTTTTAGTAATGACGTCATTTTAGCCAAATAATAGACAACCCCATCGATTTTCGACGTAATGTACTCTGGACATAAGTGCCAAAAAAATTACATTAAATATTTAGTCCACGGGCCCACGTGCAAAGAAAGAAATGATTACCAGCAAGCTGTAACTTTGCGTGCAGCTTAGGTGTGACGAGTCTCCCAAGATTTGACTATGAGGAAAATTCAACAGTGGTAAGTTTTCCCGTGATTTTCAGAAAAACATGTCAATCTGGCATAAACATGGAATGTTATAACCAGCACTTTTTTTTAAGTTTAAATGAAAGATATACATTTTTTAAACCTCCCCAAAAAATTTGTCCGACAAAAATGTTGGGTATTTTGAGATTGTCTCCCACCCCAAATATGTCGATTTGGTGACATTATGGTTGGTGACAACCAGCAAGCTGATTTTTCTGGGAGAGTTTGGTAATTTGAAATGAAAGTATCTTATTGTCCGACAAAATTCTTGAGAAGTTTTTGCAGTCCGACGCCCCGAAGATGTTGACTTAACGACAACATGGATGGTGATAACCAGCTGTCGGAAAAAAGCGTCATTATTAAAAAAAAATGCAACATTAATCTGAGAATTTAATTGTCCGACTAAATTATCGTTTTTTTTGCTTGTCCGACAAAATTAAACTATAAAATTTTGCGGTTTCAATACTTACGCATGATGTGGAAGAAAAATTTATATTTAATAAAAAAAATATATGAATAAAAAAAAATTGTTTAAATTTCTCAAATTTCAAAATAAATATGACTAATTTAAATTTATTTTTTTATACAATTACAAAAAAATTGTATGCAGGGTGGTCCCGAGCTAATAGGTCAAAATTCATGGGTAGATTCTCGAAGCAAAAATATTGCCATTTAGCCGAACTTACCTTAGTTAAAAAGATGATAGTTAAAGAGATACAGGGTGTTAAATGTAAAATATTATTTTAGTTTTTTTTCATTTATTCCTTAATAAATGCAAATATCCTCGCAAAATTTTGAGGTTTGGAGTTCCTTAAGTAGAGGAAATGTGTTCACATTTTGGTTAAAGTTCATAGAGAGCGCTAGCTGCAGTAGATTGAATGTGTTAAAAACGACATAACTTTTTTATACTTTAAGGTATCTCATCTTGGGAATCAAATTCTTATTTTCCAAGATATTTGGCTTTGAAACTTCCAATGCTGTTGAACCACTTGTCTTATTGCTATCATTTGTATGCTACTGTCCATTAAGTATTATTCGTACCTAAAATTACATCTTAATTTAAATTGTATGTACATAAATGTGAGAGGGAATGCCGAGACTTCCATTTTTGAGGTTACATGAAATCAGTTGTTTATGGAGAAACTATAAACACCTGTTAAGAACTTTGGCAGCAGGTTTTAAATGCTGCAAAGTGATTTCGCATTAAGGATTTCTACTTTATAACAAGACAATCTTTTAATAAACGCGTTGATAAATGTATAATAATATTTTTAAAATTGGTTTAATTGGTTTTTCAAGAACAAAACTATGTGTAAACTGTTTGTCAAAACAAGATTGCAAATTTTAATTTAAAAAAAAAAAACAAGCAAAAATGTATGCATTCATTGTACAGTTACCATTTTTTATAAAATAGTTACAATAGTTTATAAAATAAAATGTACATATAAGTTTCTTGAACAAAAAAAATCATTTTGATGGAGAGTAATTAAATTAGTTAGTCATAATTATTTATGAATTTCAATTTCTGTTGCTCCTGTTAACAAGATAATTTTCTTACTTATTCTTCTTTATTTTTTCATTAAAAAATTAATTATTTTATAGCGGAATGAACATTAGGTACCATAAAAATAGTTATTTTTCGCATTTTTAAGGCAAATTTTCCAATATTTTTGGCGGACAAGTATATTATTGTGTTATACATTTCAATTATTAGAGAAAAAAATGAAAACCAGATTGGTTATCACCAACAATGTTGTCGTTAAGTCCACATCTTCGGGGCGTCGGACTGCAAAAACTTCTCAAGAATTTTGTCGGACAATAAGATACTTTCATTTCAAATCTTATTACCAAACCCTCCCAGGAAAATCAGCTTGCTGGTTGTCACCAACCATAATGTCACCAAATCGACATATTTGGGGTGGGAGACAATCTCAAAATACCCAACATTTTTGTCGGACAAATTTTTTGGGGGGTTAAAAAAAATATATCTTTCATTTAAACTTGAAAAAAAAGTGCTGGTCATAACATTCCATGTTTATGCCAGATTGACATGTTCTCCTGAAAATCACGGGAAAACTTACCACTGTTGAATTTTCCTCGTAGTCAAATCTTGGGAGACTCGTCAAACTTAAGCTGCACGCAAAGTTACAGCTTGCTGGTAATCATTTTTTTCTTTGTACGTCCCGTGGACTAATTGCGATATTCTGGCAATATTAGAAATATTTAAGAAGTTTCAATCTCCAAGTGACAAAGTAATAGAATTATAGAATTTATATATTTAAATTTATAGAACATTATTGACTTTTATAGTAATTAATAAATTAAGATTATATCAATGTGCATTAAAGATAATTTCATGTAAGCGATGTAGCCTCACAACAGGATATAATTCAAGGAAGGTTCGGTTATGGTTATCGATAATAAACCACTTGATGAAAAAAACACTCTATAAACACACTGACACAGTACAACACCAAGAAAAACAATAACAATACTTATTAGAACTACAAAATGCCAAGTTTAAACAAAAAGAGAAAATACACTAATGATGAAAGGAGTAATTTTTTCCTTTACTAATTTTAGGAATATACTTTTATATCGTTTTTTAAGCACATTAGTGTATATATTTTACAAAACACATGTTGGTTGTTCTTAAATACTTCCAAATCCTTGTAAAAATAAATTAATTTAATTAAATAGTACACAAGGGTCAGATTCGGTACAATTTTAACTAAGACAATTTGTTGCTTGTCGCCTAAATATGTGACGTCACACTAAGAGTCCATTTAAACGAAAATGAAAATATTCGCCACGCCACTAAAAGTACAGTGAAATATGAAATGCAAATGAACTGAACGCGTTACTGAATTTAATGATATTAAATGGTTCACATTCTATTGTATAAAACTCAAATATTACAAGATACATAAACCGAATTTGGATACAAACTAAAATTAATATTTGATAACTGATTTTGTTAGAAAACATAACCACAGAAGTGTGTACAGTTCCATAATAAAAAACAAAATTCGATTCCTATTTTTACAAACACGTCTGTTGTTTGTGTTACTTGAAGCGTCTGGCGCCATCGATTTTTTATAGAATCCCTTGACACACTTCCAGAATACGCACAAAGCAAGAAGAATTATTACTACTACTAAAAACAACCCCCTAACCCCTCTATCCTTACAACAAATGTGGAAAGGGATTACATCACATTCACGTGATGGCTTTGACGAAGATAAGTTAATTTCACAAGGAGAAGGTAAGGTAGTCGGATTTAGGGCTGTCAGGTGTCCCGATTTAGGCGGGATTGTCCCGATTTCATTTGATTTGTCCCGCGTCCCGCCTCGCTCTTAATCGGGACGCAATAATCCCGACTTTCAGTTATGTCGAATAGATGTATTTGTACAGAGCGCACTGATAGAATTTGCACTGGCAAGAGGGGAATTTAATTATTTAAAAAAGTGGTTTAATTATAATGACACTAGATTAAAATCATTAGAAATCATGACTGGAAAATGATTTTAATTTTGACAAAATTGTAGAAGTTGCCGAGAATTTTTAAATTGCAATAAATCAGGATTTATTGTTTGAGGAATATTCAAAATTAAAATCTTTCTTGGCTGAACTCTATATCACCATTTAAAAATAAATTAATTTAAATCATTTTGTTTCCTCCTTGCCTCATTCTAACGCGTCTTCAGAACGCGTATTTAGCTTTATGAATAAAGTGTGGAGAAAGGAGAGAAACTCCCTGTTAATGAATACCATAGAAGCCGAACTAATGGTTAAGTTTAATTTTAAAACGACTTGCAATGAATTTTTCAATTATTTGAAAACCGAGACAGAAAAAAAAAATTGCAACTGGCGAAATCTAATGAAAAATATTTGCAATAATTTGTTAAGTATGTACAATGTTAAACAATAAAGCAATATACTTACTTTGTACATTAAGCCTTTAATTTAACTTCCCTTCGTGCTGACTCAAATGTCCCGCTCTTTAGTATTGGAAACCTGTCAGCCCTAGTCGGATTTTAGAAATTTTTTATATTTATGGTACGTGTAGTTTGGACCTTGAATAAGAATTTTCCGAAGTAGTTCGACGCAACGTTCATAAATTACCGAGATAATCGATTTTGAAGTTTTACCTGACAGCTAAATCCACTTTGTGACACATTCTTCAACTGGGAGCGTTCGGGACTGACACGAGATCGCTGGTTTGAGTTACTCTATACAAGACAGTGACGACAATAGAGTGTATCATTTTTAATTGGTCCACGTGATTTTAGCTGCCATGTTGCATCCAGTGTCAAATTCATCTGTGATGTGTCATGTGTCAGGAGCGTTCTTGTGGTGTTATTCAATATTTGTATTGTTTTATTTTAATTTTGGTAATAATTAGTGATCCTATATTGGGTATTCTGTGCTAAGGGATAGTTATAATGTTTGCAGAAGCTCATATAAGGACGACCACCGTGAATTTCTTTTAGGTTTTTTGGACACTATTACAAAAAATATAACACCTACTATAGGAAGTTAAGGTTCCAGCTAACATAGAAGAACCAAAATTTAATCTTAGTTTTAGTGAATTAAATTCTCTTTATAATGTGTGCGGATATATCGTTCAAAG